CACTGAGAGACCGTGATAGGACAAGAAGACAGGGTAGTGGCGTAGCCCCGGGCATCAAGACTGCTTCACCTGCAAGGTCTGCAAGAGATGACAGGCAATCAAGGCTACCGTGCAAAGAAGGAACAGCATGCAATGCCTGGGGAAGGGCCTTCCCGGAGTGGACAGCCCGACCGAGTGGCCTCACGTGCACGTGACTGAGCTGAGCCGACCACCTCCATGACAACGCAACCTGCCCTTCACCCCTTGACCTCTCATACATGGGAGCCCACGTGAAAGGATCTGACAGCTTGTGTACATGTGGGATCTTGCCAAGACGATGGGCAGCATCCCAGCAAGAGGTACTCTACTGGGAAATGCAGGCAGAACCTTGTGCAGAAGAGCACTTTGCAGATAAAGGTTCTGTATTAATGTGGCTTCTCTAGAGAAGTGGAACCAACAGGAAATAGATGATAGATAGATAGATAGATAGATAGATAGATAGATAGATAGATAGATAGATACATAGATAGATACATAGATACATAGATACATAGATACATAGATAGATACATAGATACATAGATACATAGATACATAGATACTATAGTAATAGATAAGAGAGAGACATGATAAAAGGGAATCATGAAAGCAGGTGGCAGAATTTGGTCTGAGTCTGACGGCCTGAGACCAGGAGTGCCAGAGCCCAAGGGCAGGCAAAGATGGACGTCGCGGCTGAAGCAGAGCAAACGCGCCCCTCCTCCACCCTTCTGCTCCACTCAGGCCTTCGGCTGATGTCCCCCCGCATCGGTGAGGGCAAGCTTCTTTACTCAGTCTACATTTCAAATGCTGATCTTTTCTGGAAACATCCTCCCAGACTCACCCAGAAACAAAGGTTTACCTATCTGGGTATCCCTTAGTCCAGTCAGACTGACACATACAATCAACCATCACTGATGCCTAAGATTGGGAGGCGCCGGGCAAGTTTAGGGATCTAAGCAACCAGAAAAGCTGAAGGAGGCAGAGAAAGAGAGAGAGAGAGATGTCACACAATTACTTCTCATTTCCACGGAGTGTCACCGGGTGACTGATGCAGTGGAGTAGCAGGATCATATCCAAACAACATTTTTAAAAGCTCCCTCTGGGAAAGGAGAAGAATCCTTGGGCTGCTTCTGGGGTCCCCGTGCCACTCCCCTCACCCAGATGCTTCGCTCAAGAAGGGAGAGGCTAAGTCACTGGGGAGGGTCCTTCAGCCATGAGCGGATTAACTTATCACGGTCCATGTGAAACTCTGGGATTTTTTATTACCTGCACATATAGTCAATCTTTTAAAAAAGCATATTCGACTCTGTGCCTTATTGGTAATGGGAAAACATCCATTCCTACACCAGTTTCTCAACAAATACTTGTGCATTCAATTGGATTTTGTTTCCATAGGTGGAACCTTTATTTTGAGTTCCATGTGTATTTCAAATATTAGAAGGAAACAATGAATGTTAAGTGCAAAATGAGAAGACGATTAACTATGGCCGGAAAAGGAGGCCTTCTCAATGCAGCCTCCACATATTGTTTTGATTTTAACATTAGAAATATTCAATTCCATCACTAAGGTGTCTTTTGGCCCCCTAACATTTGCCTTCTGTTTGGAGTTGTTTTGTAGGCAAAACATTGCTGACATATGAACATGTTTTTTCAAACGGACATTCATCAAACATAATCATGAAGGGGATAAATCTCAAGTCGGAGCTCGTTCTCTGAAAATTCCGCTGGTGGTTCAACCCCTAGTGCCCTCCTTGGCTTGCTGCGCCTTTGGTTGTGATCACATTTAAATACTGGCATTTTTACTCAGCAATGAGATGGCCCACATCAGTCCTCAGTTCTAGGAATGTTGAAAGCTGAGGACGAGGCTCAGCCCTCACTGTGATATTCACAGTTCCATGACAAGGTGCCTTCATGAACTTATCTCCAGTTCCTTCCCACTCTCCCTCCAGAAACAAAGGCAAGGTTTAAAAGTGCTTCCTAACATGCTAGGCGCTGGGCTGTAAGAATCTCATTTAAGTCTCACAAAATCGAACGATCTTATTGTCATCACCACCCCTCTGCAGGTCCTGTAGAAGGGATGAGACGGTTGGAGCCGGCCCACGGCCGCGGGCATTAAACAGAAAGCCTGGGACTGACACAGCCTCTCTGACCTCACAGCCTGAATTCCTGACCACTGTTTACTCGGTGTTTCTATCTGCCTTCCTGCTGGAGGGAGGTGCTCAGACAGCCCACGAGCCAGTGCTGGCAAACCCATCCTCTTGGGGGGAGGTGTCTGTGGGGGGCCAGACGCCTTCATTCACTGCTCGCGTGGCACCCCCCCTCTGGAAGGTGTGCTTGTTTTCTTGCTCTTGCTCCTCTGAGGCCGCATAAGCCCTGTCAGCCCAGAAACAAGGGTGGTGTTCGGCCAGCGGGCAGTTCCCAGACCCGAAGCTGAGCTTGAGAGGACAGGCACCACGTCTCCCGGTGGCCCTGGCTTTGCGGGGCATTCAGACATGCACACGGCCAGAAGGAGAGCAGAGGGCGCTAGTCTCAGGCATTTTCATTGTTCTCATTTGTGTTTATTTGGGGTCAGTGAGAAATCGAGGGCTGGGAGTGTGTCAGCACCTAAAAGAAGCGGTTGGCATCACACAGAACCAAGCAGGAGGCAGTGTGCATCTCCAGTGACCTGGCGCCCAGAGAACGTGTGGGGAGGCAGTGACACAGAGGCTGACAGTGGGCTACAAATAAATCTCTGCATCCCTGCCCCCGGATGCCCCTCGCTAGGAGTGCTGGGCCCTGGCCTAGGGCGCAGGTGTCCTGAGGGTGTTACGAACTCCTCTGGGCCTTGCTCGCCTCACCCTAACCCAAACCCTGACACTGAGCCCTCAACCTCTAACCATAAGCATATCCTCACCCTACACCTAATGACAACCCTAACCACAAGTCTACCCCTAACCCTGCCCCTCACCTTCGCCCGCACAGAACCATAACCGTGAGCCTAATTCTCACGTGATCCCTCAGCCTAAACCCAAATTCTAACTCTAACCCACACCATAAAACTTCATCCTAAACCTAACCCTAATCCAACTGTACTCCACCCCCTCACCCTCATCTTCACCCACATCTCACCATAACCCTAAACCTCAATCTCACAGTTACTCCAACATTACAACCGGGCCCTAACTCTAACGGTAACCCTTTCCTTCCTGTACACCTAACCCAAAAGCCAACTCTAACCCTAAGCCTGGCCTGTCACCCTGACGCCACAATTTCATACTCACCTTCATGTACAAATAACTGTAACCCAATCCCTAAACCGACCCCAAACCCTGACGCTGAACCCTCAGCCTAACTCTCGCCATGACCATATCCTCACCCTACTCCTAAGGACGACCCTGACCCTCACCCTAACCATAAGTCAACCCCTAACCCTCCCTCTCGGGGCAGCATGAGAACAAAAGAAGTGACAGTGGCCCAGAGCCTGGTTCCCACAGGGACCATGTGCACCAGGAAGTCACTTCTTTCTGCCCAATGACAGCACAAGAGGACAATGTCTGAGTCGTACTTACTGTCATCTCTATGGCTTGCCCTGAACTTTGCTAAGTGTGCTGGCCAGCAGGGGCTGAAGGGCCTCGGGAGGTCTTAAGGAATGATGCTTTGCTTGGGAGAACATTGTGCAGTTCTTTCCCAACTCCTTCCAGCATTCAAAGCCCATGTAGTGTGGCCTGGAACCAGTTGCAGCTTCGGCTTCTCATCTGCAAAACCAGGAACGCTGGGAGGACAGAGGGGGATGAAGCCGGGGAAACTCTTGGCCCAGCTCTTAGGAAACACTCTACAACCCCAGTTTATTACTGTAATTTTTACTGCTGTCATCTGTAGGTAGGTTCAGGGAAACATCTCAGAGGACATTTCGTTTCAGCTCTAAGATGGAGGGAAGGGGAAGTAACAGCTGCTGTTACGCACGTGGGGGGACCAATGCGTGTCAGGCCACACGAGTCCCAGAGGGGTGACTCCCAGATTCTAACCTGCCTCTCTCCCCAATCGATGCCTCTCCCTACTACCCAGGACCAGCACCCTTGCACCATTTCTGTGTCAGGAAAATGTCAAGAATGTGCATTCATTTCCTGTCTTTTTTGTTTGAACCCAGGGAACTCTACTGTGGTTCCATGTGTCCATTTCAATCAGAATCTCTTAGAGAGATTTTTACTACAGATCTTTAGGTCTCACTGCAGAGATTCCCACAGAGGTTCCCGGACTCTGCATTTAACCAGCACACCAGTGATTCTAAGACCACTTGGAAAATACGGGCCTTGAAGATTGAAACCACATCGCATCCTGGCCATGTGCGAATGCAAATTAGCATTCACATCAGCTGCATTCCTGAGCACTCCTAGCTATCAGCTCTGTTCTACGTGGGGCTCTGCTCTATTTGTCCCGTTGGGTCCCCAGGACAAAGCCGTGTCAGGGGCTTCCCACTTTAGGTGCGATGAGGCTACTGAGGCCTCACCAGGCTGTCGCCACACTCCCCTATGATGGGCTTTGAGCCCAGAGGTCTGCATCCAGAGTTGGCACTACCCACCCCTGTACCTGTGCCTCCCTCCAGCCTGCTTGCCTCTCACCTCTCTCCATGGTTTTCCAGTTCATCTTCTTCCCTCCCTTGTCCCCAGCTGTCCCCGTGGGCATGTTCCCCAAGCCCCATACCACATTTTGCCTTTGGATGGTCCTCCGACTCATCCCCAAGTGCGCCCTAGCAGGACCCTGGCTCTCTGCACAGGAATTACGCTGGACACAGCATACTGGTGCTGAGCCACAGGGCGTGGCTGATGCCTTTGGTCGAAGGCTGGTGTCTGAGCCACACGCCAATGCCCTCGCTGCCCTGTGGCCGAGGAAGTTACACCCACACACCCCGGCCTGCTTCTGGCCGTGATTGCACAGAGCGGGAGTTCCAGGCCTTTTTCACGGGGAAAGTGCCTACTAATTATACTCAAGGTTGGGGCTTTGAAGGATGTAAGATGGGTCCCCCCACCCCTTTGATGGTGTGGCCGAGCTGTTATTAGAGAGCTGCCTGCTGGCCACAGGGCCTGTGGGAGGTATGGCCGCCTGCCCTGCCAGATACTGACCCAGAGAATCCGTTGGGCTGCTTCCCCCACCCTGGCTGGAGCCACCCCACATCCCAACAAAGGGATAAATGGGAGCCAGAGTGAAAGAAGGGGGTGCGGAGCAAAACTCTGGGGAAATAACACTTTAGGGATGAAATGAGGCGGACTGGCTGTGGATCCCGAAGAGGAGCCACCAGAGGGAGCAGAAAAATCCAGAACTGAGTGGTGAGCTAATATGCCTCGCATTTCTTGGGAATGGTTGGATTTTAAATATTAGGTCTCTCTCCCTTTAAACCATTAAAATTAAAATTCTGAGATGTTGTGACTCTCTGGGTCATAAGCTCCTTTTGCCAGACCCACCTTTAGCAGAGCAAACAACACCAGAGCCTTGTCATTTATTTAGGAGAAAAGTACTCAGTCCACTTAGAGACCCACAACCTGCAAGAGGCACATTCCCAAGGAATTTTGGGAAATCCTCTCCAGGGTGTCAGCAGTGGACACAGGTGCTAACCTAACAAGATTACAAAAAAGCCTATGCCCGTGTCAGCTATTTCATCCCCTCGCTTATCAAGCAAATGCATCCCTTTGACATGTCCTGCAGTGTGCCTGGAGATGACCCCTCGGAGATGGCTAAGCTCTGGCCACTCTCTCTCTGTACCTCTTACCTTCCACCATATCAGTCTGATCGGGGAAAACCAGGGCTTCCTGTCTGGCTGCCCACAGTTCCCATCTGAGAGGCTGAGCATCAGCCCACGACACCAGGGCACATGATGCGGCTTTTCCTGTGCAAGGGTTCAGCTAATGGAGATTATTTGGGGGGGTACTAGAAAAGTCCTTAACTTAACATGTCTCCTTCATGGGACCACGCTGCTTAAATCACACCATCAAAGAGCCATTCTTTTGAGTAAACACTGCTCAAAAAACCCCAGCAACATTCTTCAAAAGGCTAGTACTGATGGAGAGAGTTACAGAACAGCTTTGTGCATATTTACTTTATATATTTACATTATATAGTTGCATATTTTTCTTTTTCACTGTGCTCCTAGGGAGTGCTCACACACCAGTCCCATGGGGGGTTAGCTAATTAAACCATACCTCAGATAATATAGAATAAATTTGTCTTACCCAATGAAATACCATGAAGAAAATTAAATACGATGAGTCAGTGTATCCACCCCAATTCCATCCTAGCACCGCAGCTGACCCTGGCCGTTGGAGAGGGTTTTACTCTCCTGTGACTGGTGTAACTAATCACAGCACACTTAGTGAGCCCAGAGCTGGATTTAGCGTGTGGGGAGCTGGTGCTCAGGAGCAGGGTGGACAGGCAGCCTGTGTGTGGTTGGCTCTCCTGGGTGGCCTTCTGAGCTGGGGGAAAACAGACGTTAATGATGCACGGTGAAGATTAGCTACATGTATATGAATGATTTAAAGGTAAATATTTCAGAGATATGGAAGGTGTTAGCAAATCAGTGCCGAGGGATTTAGCATTAAAGAGTATTTCCAGTTACTTCTGAGTAATTCTTCTGTGTTATCTGGATTTTTCAATAAGGAGACATTTTGGTACACAACCATAGGTAGCTGACACAGAAAGTTTTAAGTTTATACACAGCCAGAATGTAGTAGAGTTGGACCTTGAACTTGGAAGTCTAGTGCCAGAGCTGTGCCTTTAGTTTTGTCATTGTTCCGACGGGGTCAACGGTCTTACTACGGAGGGCAGAGCTGTGTCTGGTGGGGGAGGTGTGGTTGAGCACTGTAAGGGGAGCCCCGCCTTGGGTTACCAAACCCTAATAGGGCAAGGGGCTTCCTGCCTGCACAGCTGTGGCCGCTAAGATGTCCCAGATGTCAAGCTCAGCCCTGCCCAGTATCTGTTCTCACGGTGAGCAGGACAGCCCGCAGGTCGGGGCCCCACCACCCCTGCAAGGGGCAGAGCGGTCTGGCTGCCACGACTCCCCTGTGTGACTGGGGACAGGTGGGGCACTACCTGCTGCCCTCTCCTGCCCCGCTGTTTCAGACTGGCCCTGACATCCAGGATCATGTCCTAGCTCTTCAGAAACTAACGTAACTTGACCCTCTGCCTTCATGCCGGCCTGCGTAGGCCCACTGCTCCACCATCCGGCCAATCCATCTCTCCTCGGTGAGGCTGCTCCGAGTACCCTGGCTGGATGCCAGCTCAGAATCCCAAACGCTGCTACGTGCCTGGCACTGAGTCCACCCACTTCCTGAGCCTCCTGCCGCTTGATTAGATCTCCCTTGATGGCACTGTGAGAGATGGCAGGGTGACCTCTCACCCTGTAATGGGACCATAAAAGCTGCTTCCCTTCCCCTGGGGCTGAGAGAGCCACCTCTCCATCCGATGAGTCAGGCTTGCCTTTCTCTAAATCCCAAACACAAGGAGAACTTATTGTGTCCCACAGAGGATGCACCCCACTGATTCCAGAGACCAGCACACCGACGGTGGTACCTGGTAGAGTCAGGGAGGCTCAGTCTTGGGAAAACCAGCATCGTTTGACAATAAGCAAGGGATGAATGCCAACCTGACAGAGGGCCGTAAAAGCCAACCCTAGGACCATCCAGAAAGGCTGCAGGCTGTCTGGGGAGCAGGCACAGGGGGTCCAGTTTTTCAGGTTTTCAGCCTGTCTGGAGAGCTTCTATGGGGTTGTGGGGGGCACACGTTGGCTCCAGCTAGCGGTAGCCAAAATGTTTATCTGACAGATGATCCCCTAGCTGGCCAGGTTAAAGCTTTCATAGAGTGTTGGGAGGGGCAGCTGAAGGGAGAGAAGAAGAGAGAAAAAAGATTATTTTCCCTGCTCTGTGCCAGCAGGGTGGTATAAATGGCTCATGCGGGTCATGGGTGCTGATCTGACGTCATCCTGCCCGTGTCTCCCATGCCATAGGGAAGTTGGGTGAGAAGGCGAGGGTGTTACTAATTTACTTCTGCTCCTGATAAACACTGGGCATATTTATTCCATGAAAGAAATTGTGCCCCACCGTGACCACAGACCTCGCCGCTGCCATTCATTGTAGGCTAAGGAGGTGCTGCCTGCAGTTCTCCTCCCCACAGTCGGTCCAGAGGAGCACAAAATTGGAAATGACTTTATTTATATGCGGATGCAGAGTCTCCCGTGTACCTAACAGCGGGATGTCTGGGTTCCGACAGGGAAGCCCTGCAGAGATGTGACCTTGGGGCTCGCGTTTGTGAACCGCATCCTGCCAAGCCAGACTTTAACAGCCAGCTCACACCGAGCTTTTTCCATCGCACTATTACCAGGTGCCTCCAAAATTGGAGGAAAGCAAAAAGGGCACATCTATTACAGCCGGATGTGATGGTTCAACATACCAATAATTACGGAAGAAAGTGTGATGAAATAATTGAGGTTTTTAATGTACAAATGTCACTTAGCTTTATAAGGTAAGATAAGGAAAGGTAACTGCAGCTTTCTAAGATGCAGGTTACGGTATTTAGGTGAAAAATATCATGGTGTCTGATTTTAAAGAGGCTTTTAAAAATGGTAAAATGCCAGCATTTGTTAAACCGAGATTTACATTGATATTATTCTCTCTACTTTTCCTCATAGCTGGAAAATTCACAAGGAAAAGGGTTTTTTTGTTTGTTTTTGTTTGTAGGAAGAGTTATTTCTTTCAGGAACAGAATGTTTTGTGGGGGGAACAAGTGTTGGTCTTTTTTCCCTCCTGCTTACACAATTATACAGTTTATTGTGGAAATTTTAGTTTATACTAAAAATCCACTGAGAAGAAGATCAAAGTCACCCATGGTACCAGCACCCAGAGACAACTCAGGATGACCACTGTTAATAAGCAGATGCTTTTCCTCCCTTGTATGCATATTACAAACCATAGAGAATCATCCTCTGTGCTGAGGAACACACACGAATTTGTCAATATTTAATAGACCATGTTAACTGACAAAAGACAAATTCACATCATTCAGATTAATACATGAGAGCATCCCATACCACTAAAGCTGAATTTAACATAATTTTAATGGCTGCATAATATTTATTAGTTGAATATACTCTAATTTTTTAATAAATATTTATTATTTTGGAAATGATTGGGCATTCATTTTACCCCTAGTTTTTTCTTAGTATAAATAACGGTGTGATTTGCACTTTGGTATATCACTGCATATTGTATTATCTAATTTGGTCAATTAATTTTTTGCAAAGAAGACAAGAACATACAAGGAGGAAAGGATAGTCTCTTCAGTGACTAGTGTTGAGAAAACTAGTCAGCCACATGAAAAGAATGATACAGGACCTCTTACCCTGTACGTAAAAATCAGCTCAAAATGGATTAATGACCTGAGACCATAAAACTCTTAGAAGAAAACATATGGGTGAGCTCCTTGACATCAGTCCTGGCAATGATTTTTTGGACTTAACACCAAGATTTACATTAACACCAAAAGCAAAGACAACAAACACAAAAACAACCAAATGGGACGACATCAAATTAAAAGGCTTCTGCCCAGCAAAGGAAGTCATCTGCAAAATGAAAAGGCAGCCTACCAAATAAGAGAAAATATTTGCAAATCATTTATCTGATAAGGGGTTAATATCCAAAATATATAAAGAACTCGTGCAACTTATTAGAAAAAAAAATATGATTAAAAAATGGGCAGAGGAATCAACAAACATTTTTCCCAAGAAGACATGGATTGTCAAATGGCCAAGAAGTAAAAGGGAAGGTGCTCAGCATCACTGTTGATCAGGGAAATGCAAATCAAAGCCACGGCGAGATTCACCTTGCACGTGGTAGAATGGCTGCTATACACAAGAAGTGACAAATGTTGGTGAGGGTGTGGAAAAAAAGAGAACCCTGTGCACTGTTGGTGCAAATATATCCTGCTACAGTTGCAACGTAAAACAATATGGAGGCTCCTCAAAAAATTAAAAAGAACCATCATATGATCCAGCAATCCCACTCTGGTTATATATACAAAGGAAATGAAATCAGGGTCTCGAAGAGACAGCTGCATTCTCACATTCATTTCTGCATTGTTCACAATAGCCAAGTGTCACTGAATGAATGGATAAAGAAAATGGAATGTAATGAAATATTATTAATCCTTGAGAAAGAAGGAAATCCTGCCATTTGTGACAACATGAATGAAACCAGAGAATACTATGCTAAATGAATAAGCCAGATAGATAAAGACAAATATATATGATTTCATTTGTATATGAATAAAAAGAAGTCGAACT